AGAAGTGGGCTGTAGTCCACGAAAGCTTATGCTCTAATAAATTTGTTAGTCTCTAAGGTGCCACAAGTACTCCTGTTCTTCTTTTTTCTAGTTATGTCATTATTCAAAATTACTTGGCAGGGGATTTCTATGACTGACTCTTGGCCTGTCACTTGTTCACAAGCTGTTTGTGATGAGTATTCAATACAAAATTCAAGCAGTATTGCTTGGACACGTTGGTGTCACATGGTGTGTCACTGTTCCCTGATTGGATGAGAGTGTGACTCTAAGAATCAGGTTTCTGGGATGGGGGGGGGAGTTGAAAACTCGCTTTTCATCAGATTTCTCTAGAATCAGCTGTGGATTCTCCACTTTTGGCAACTTCTCTCCCGGGAACTCTTTTACCCTAATACTCATGGGAAATAAACACAAGCAGGGCTTGAATGTAGGCCGCGTGAACTCCGTTCGAACATCATGCCCATTGTCCTGTGCCATTTTGAGCAATGTTTGCTCCGCTTTCTTGCCTCAGCACTTGATACTCAGGATAAAGGGGGTGAGGAGAACCCCTGGACTTGTTGGCTGAGTTTTTGGGGAACTCAGCCAACAAGTCCAGACTCAAGGAGATCAATTTGTTTTACTCAACAAAGAGAAGCTTAAGAGGTGATTTGATCACAGTCGATATGTGCCTACACGGGGAACAAATATTTAACAATGGGCTCTTCACTCTAGCAGACAAAGGTCTAACACAATCCAAAGGCTGGAAGTTGAAGCTGGACAAATTCAGACTTGAAATAAGGTGTGAATTGTTAACGGTGAGAGTAATTAACCCTTGGAACAACTTAACAAGGATCATGGTGGATTCTCCATCATTAGCAATTTTTAAATCAAGTTTGGCTGGTTTTCTAAAAGTTCGGCGCTAGGGATTATTGTGGGGCAGGTCTCCGGGTGTGTTATAGAGGAGAGCAGACTGGATGGTCACAGTGGTCCCTTCTGGACTCGGAATCCATGAACCTCTGAAAAATATTTTTAATGGAAACTTTTTTTTAATGAACATAGAAAAACCAGAAACCAAAAATGTTTCTGTAAAATGTTTTTTTGGCTTTCGTTTAAAAAAAAATGGTTTCCAATAAAATAAATCCATTTTTGGTTTTCAAAAATCAGAAAATGTTTAATGAAAACAGTTTTTGAAAATGGACCATTTTTCCGTTTCAGGTTTTTGTAAATTTTTCTTGGAGAATTTTGAAAAATGTGAAAAAATTTCAACACTTTTTGTAAAAAATGCTTGGAATTTTTCACCCACATCTAGTTCCAGGTGAGGCTGTGGCTGGCGGTAACAAGGAGGGCCATGGTTCTGGCTTTAGATGAGATTTGGCAAATTCTGAATTTACCTGGTTTCCAGCTGAAAGTAGCTCAGTCCGAACCACTGTCCATCCCACTTCCACACCTAGACGTGACCCTTTGCAGCTGCCTTACCTCCCCAATGAGCTCCGCCCACCCATCTCCCGGCTGCCCACGCCCTCCACAGCTACCCACCTGACATGTCCTCTAACAGCTGACTCCTAAACTGACAGCCAGGTTGGGAACCAGCTGGGAGCACATGCCCAGGAGCATGGGCGGATTTCCACTCTCGGGAGTCAGGATGGGGACAAGGAAACCTTCCCTGACCCCCAGACTAGACCCCACCCCTTACTCGACACAATTCCCAGATCCTTCGAACCCCCAGTTCCCAAGGGATAGCTCAGTATTTTAAGGCTCAATCCAAACACGTCTCTTGCTAATGTTTGAATGCCTTTTCTCCCATGTGTGGTTTGAGTGGGCACAAACCATGGAGCACTGTCTGCTTTCTAAAGACCGGGGGGCGGTGGGAGGACTACACTACGCTCCTACAATGGGGTTCCTCTAAGGACGTAGACTTTGCCCTGCAGATCAGACCATAGGTCCACCAACTCTGGGGTCTTGTCTCCAGCAGTAGCCAAAGCAGGATGCAGCCCTCTGCTCCCCACTAATGTATGGAGGGGTCGCTTATCTAGCTCCCCTTTTTAGTGCCAGTGGCTGGGGGCGCTGGGCTGGGCTGGTGAATACAGAGGCATTTTTCTCTGAACCTTGCACAGTTCAACCATGAAAAGAACTTACAGAGGACGTTCAAAGTGCTTGGGGAAGAGCTTCTAACCCTCTCCTGGGTCTTCACCGTGCAGTGGTAGGATGCAGCATCAGCGGTGGTGACCTTGGGAAACGTAAGTGACCTGCCAGGGCCCTTGCTGAACCATACGTTGTTCTTATACCAGGTGTAGTGCGGCATCCCCGGGGCATCACTGTCAACTGCACAGGTCAGGTTAACAGCATCCCCCTCGTGGACATCCGGCGAAGGAGAGATCCAGACCCTTGCAGCTGGGAGGAAAGACTAATGTGAGAAAATGTTTATATACTATGGGGATGGATAGATGGATGGATAGATAAAGGGGTATGTATGGAGATGGACAGATGGATATGACGGTTATGTAGAGGGATGAATGGATGGATACAGCGATCTGTATGGGGATGCAAGGATTAGAGAAAGAGAGAGATACGGGGATAAGTATGGGGAAGGATGGACAGATAGATACAGGGGTATGTAAGAGGATGGATGGATGGATGGATGCAGGGATATGTATGGGAATGAATGAATAGATAGACAGATACAGGGGGTATTTAGGTGGATGGATGGATATAGGGGGATGTATGGGGATGTGTGGATGGATAGGTAGATACAGGGGGTATTTAGGTGGATGGATGGATATAGGGGGATGTATGGGGATGTGTGGATGGATAGGTAGATACAGGGGATATTTAGGTGGATGGTTGGATATAGGGGGATGTATGGGGATGTGTGGATGGATAGGTAGATACAGGGGATGTTTAGGTGGATGGTTGGATACAGGGGTATGGCTGGATCTATAGCTATAAGAGGTATCTAGGTGGCTGGCTGGCTGGATACAGCAGTATGTAGGGGGATGGATGGATCCAATTCCCATGGCAGTAGAGGGCAATGTTGCACTCACTCTCTGCAGTGAAGTTCAGTGAGGTGGTTGAGTTGCCGTACGCGTTACTAGCAGAACACACATACTCTCCTTCATCCTCCATCACCACAGCCTGGATCTCCACCTTCAAGCTGTTGTGTGATGAGGAGACGCTGACTCGCTGTCCGGCTGCCCGGTGGGAGCCAGTGGTGGAAGCCACAAGTTCACCTCCTCTGAACAGAGATAACTGTGACTGTGGGTCACTATCAACAGTGCACTGGAGAACGCCCAGCTGCCCATCTGGTGTCTCCAGGAAGGAGGTCAACTCGGGCTCCCGGGGTGGATCTGTTGGGGTGAAACACTCGCATTAAGACACAATGAACATGCTCTTCATTTGCCATCATCTTGGGCCTTTAATGCCATGATTCCTTCTTTGATCAGCAAAGCATTGTCTCTGGGCTGCCAGCCTATTTCGCCGGCACAACATTCACTGTCAGTTGCTTGAAACGTCTATGCTGAATCCCTTCTCCCCTCACAACCCTTCATCTCTTAAGTCCTTTTATCCTGTAGGTTCTCCATTGCAGACACTATCACACTATAAATAATAGAAGGAGAAGAAGAAAAGGCAGATCCACCCAGAAGGATCTGATCAGACCGCCCCATTCCCATTTGAAAATCTAAATTAAAGAGTCCACTCCAAATACGTTTTAATTTATACTTGTGGTTTGCTTCTGTTCCTAGAGTTGGTTGGGAATTTTCAATACAATTTTTTGGGGTCAAAAAATGTTGATTAATTGAAAATGAATCTGCTTGTGAAACAGAATCGGTTTCGACAAATCTCCAGCCTTGAATCATGTTTGGAAAAAAAGCTGCAGAAGATTTGAAATGAAAAACACCAGTTTTCACGTTCAAAATGACTTTCTTTTGAAAAGTCAGCCAGTTAGACTTTTAAAACGGTTAACAAGGAAAGAAAAGTTCAAAATCAAAACAAAATGGTTTCGAAATGATCAAAATGAAATATTTCCATTGACCTGGACCTGAAGTTTGGTTTTGTTGTTTTGTTTTTTCAGTTTGCAGAAAATTGTCAAGATTTTGGTGTTTGGTCCAGATTCAGGATGGGAAAATTTTTCCAACTCCTGAAAATTTTCAAAGGATGGGAAAACCTTTTCCCTCTTGGCTCTGCCTTCTACAGTGTAAATGCCATGATACAGGTTGAAATGGGTGGTACCCTGACTCTTTCACCATTAGTGTTCCCAAGGATATGTGGCCCATATCGTCTCCTGCTCTGCTCAATAAGCCTTTGATACAACATTGGGAAGGGGCAGTGTGAAACCTGCGTCCCTTCCATGGTTCCTGTTCCCTCTTTGCTCAGGCAAAGTCCTGCTGAGGTCAGTGTGAATGTTACTGAGCAATATGGGCTCCTGCATCTGGCCTGTCATGATCAGTGCCAGAACCTCTCTCTCTAGAGCCATCGGGAGCGATATGCTGTCCTGGAGCAGGGCCCTGGTTCATGGAATCTAGACCAGCCGCGGCCTGTGGCAGTCGCAGAGCTGTGCAGAAACTGCCATTTTTGGTTCAGGGGGAGATTCGTGCTTTGGAAATGTCTTTGGCTCCAGAATGGAACGAAATCAAAGAATTCTGAAATTTCCCGCTAGCCAAAATTCTGAAGAAAAAATAAATAAAATTTCAGGTCAATCAAAACATTTTGTTTTGACAACATTGAAACGTTTCGTCCTGATTTTGCCTTTTTGTTTTCATTTTATGTGATATTTTATAATAAAAACGGGAAAAATCAGAAACCAAAAGTCATGTCGAAATGGAAAAGCGAAACGTTCTGGTCCGAGACGGCTGCAATGGAACATTGGACCCGATTGAAACGCTCTTTTCACCTTTTGGTTTCAAAACAAATTTTCACCCAAGACGACGCGTTTCTGCGAAACGTTTTGCTTTCGATGAATCAGCATTTCCTGCCGGGAAAATCTCCCGCTGGAAAATTTCCAACCAGCTCTGGGAATAGCCGTCCTCCGGCAATGCTCTGGAGAAAAGCAATGCACCCAGCCCAAGGCGCAGTTAAGCAGCGATGCAATGCAACGGGCTGCTCCAATATTCACTGACATCAGTGGGACGCTGTCCACAGACCTCCACAAGAACTGGCTCAGCCTCCACCTGGATAAACAATATCACTTACAAGAGACGTGTAAGCGGACGGATGGGGAGATGCTGCTGCTGGTTCCCTCGGGGCTGTGAGCTTTGCAGTGGTAAGAGGCAGTATCCCCACTGGTTACGTGAGGGAAGGCGAGGGAGCTCTCTGAGCTCTCTTGAAGCCGGTGGCTGTTTTTGTACCAGGTGTAGATGGCGCCCTCTGGAGCATTTCCTGTCACATCACATGTCAGGGAGACATCCTCCCCTTCCTGAACGTCCGTGGAGGGCGTAACGAGAACTCTGGCGGCTAGAGGATGGAGACAAGCCACAGCAAAGAGAGAGAACAACAGCCTGGATCTCAGCAGCAAGTTGAATCCTACCTCTGGCCCCACCCTCGATGGCCCCGACATGCCAAGTTTGGATCGGAATCCAATATTCGGGCAGTTCTCATTCAGCCTTTTATAGCCAAGATGGGAACTCCAGATCTGGAAGTGGCTCTAAAGCTGGCCTCCCACAAAATCCAGGGGGACAGAGGTGGCATTCAGTGTGTCGGCTCATTACAGAGACCGGCGTGAAATGCAAACTCGGGTCCAGATCCTAACTTCCCTGAAACTCAGCCTTTGGATCTGGGGTTCCGATTTTGACCTAACCCTAATTTCCATCCCCATCCGTC